TGAATAACAGTGGTAATAATGGACATACTTGTTTCACCCCTGATCTTATTGGAAATGCTTCTAGCTTATCCCCATTACATATAATACTTACTGATGGTTTTAGATAGGTGCTGCATATCATTTTAAGGAAGACTCCATTTGTTCCTATGCTCTCTACTGTTTTTAATAGGAATGGGTGTTGTATTTTGTCAAAAGCTTTTTCTGCATCTATTGAGGTAATCATATGGTTTTGGTTAGTTTTGTTACGATACGGGCAGTTATGCTGATAGTTTTCCTAATACTGAACCAGCCCTGCATTCCTCGTATAAATCCTACCTAGTCATAGTGTATTATTCTCATGATAAGTTGCTATAATCACTTTGTTAGTATTTTATTTAAAATTTTTGCATTTATGTTCATTAGGGAAATTGGTCTATAATTTTCTTACTCTGTTTTGGCTCTTCCCGGTTTAGGTATCAACACTGCATTTGTATCGCAAAAATAATTTGGTAGGACTCTGTCTATTTTCCCAAATAGTTTATGTAGTATTGGAATTAATTGTTCTTTAAATGTTTGATAGAATTTGCTTGCAAATCCATCTGGCCCTGGAGATTTTTTCTTAGGGAGTTCATTGATGGCTTGTTCAAATTTTTTTTTTCTGAAATGGAGTTATTTAAGAATTTTATTTCCTCTTCTGTTAATCTGGGCAATTTATATTTTTGTAAATATTCATTCATTTCACTAAGATTGTCAGATTTATTGGCATACAGTTGGGCAAAATAGTTCCTAATTATTGTTTTGATTTCCTCTTCATTGATGGTGAATTCACTGTTTTCATTTTTGATACTGGCAATTTGGTTTTCTTTTCTTTAATCAAATTAACCAAAGGTTTATCTGTTTTATTTTATTTTTCATTTTTTCATAAAGCCAACTCTTAGTTTTATTCATTCCTTCAATAGTTTTCTTAATTTCAGTTTTATTCATCTCTCCTTTGGTTTTCAGAATTTCTAATTTGGTATTTGATTGAGGATTTTTTAATTTGTTCTTTTTCTAGCTTTTTTAGTTGCATGCCCAATTCTTTGATCTCCTCTTTCTCTATTTTATTCATGTAAACATTGAGATACAAAATTTCCCATAAAAACTGCTTTGGCTACATTCCATACGTTTTGGTATATTGTCTCATTATTGTCTTCTCTTGGATGAAGTTATTGATTCTTTCTATGATTTGATGTTTGATCCACAAATTTTTTAGGATTAGATTATTTAGTTTCCAATTAATTTTTAGTCTATCTTTTCATGGCCTTTTAGTACATGTGATTTTTATTGCATCATGGTCTGAAAAGGATGCATTTAATATTTCTGCCTTTCTGCATTGTATTGTGAGGTTTTTATGCCCTAGTAGATGGTCATTCTTTGTGCAGGTGCCATGTACCGCTGAGAAAAAAATATATTCCTTTCTATCCCATTTGGTTTTCTCTAGAGGTCTCCCATATCTAACTTTTCTAAGATTTTATTCACTTCCTTAATTTCTTTCTTGTTTGTTTTGTGGTTAGATTTATCTACTTCAGAGAGAGGGAGATTGAGGTCTCCCATTAGTATAGTTTTGCTGTCTATTTCTTCCTGTAACTCACTTGACTTCTCTAAGAATTTGGATGCTATACCACTTGGTGCATATATGTTTAATATTAATATTACTTCATTGTCTGTGGTACCTTTTAGCAGGATTTAGTTTCCTTCCTTATCCCTTTTAATCAGATATATTTTTGCTTTTGCTTTATCTGAGATCAGAATTGCTACCCCTGCTTTTTTTTTACTTCAGTTGAAGCATGTTCTGCTCCAGCCTTTTACCTTTACTCTGTACGTATCTCTCTGTTTCAAATGTGTTTCTTGTAAACAACCATAATCCACTCTGCTATCTACTTCCATTTTATTCACATTTATTCACATTCAGGGTTATGATTAGTAACTGTGTCATTCTTTCCATCCTATTTTTCTCCCTGTTTATCTTTTTCTCTCTCCTTTCTCCCTTTTCTTCCTCACCTGTGTTTTGCTTCTGATCACCCCCTCCCTCAATCTGCCCTCCCTTCTATCAGCCCCTCTCCCTTTTCTTCCCTCTTTCCCCTCCTACTTGCTATAGGGTAAGATAAATTTCTATACCCAATTGACTGTGTATGATAGTCCCTCTTTGAGCCAAATCCGATGAGAGTAAGGTTCAAATAGGTCCTCCCTCCCTTCTTTCCCTCTACTGTAATAGGTCTTTGCGCCTTTTCATATGATGTAATTTACCCTTTTCTGCCTCTTCCTTTCCCCTTCCCCTAGTACAATCTTTTTTTATCCCTTATTTTTTGTAATCATTACATCAAAGGCAACTTATATCCATACCCTTTCCAAATATCATAATAAAGATACAGTTTTCAAGAGTTATAAGTATCATCTTCCCATGTAAGGATGTAAACGGTTTAACCTTATTCAATAACTTTTTTTCTCTTTTCCTGTTAACCTTTTTAATGTTTCTTTTGAGTCTTATATTTGAAGATTAAATTTTTTCTTCAGCTCTGGATTTTTCATCAGGAAAATTTGGAAGTCCCCTGTTTCATTGAATGTCCATCTCTACTCATGGAAGATTATGCTTGATTTTCCTGGGTAGTTGATCCTTGGTTGTAATCCAAGCTCCTTTGCCTCATGGAATATCATATTCCAAGCCCTCTGATCTTTTAATGTAGAAGCTGCGAGGTCCTGCATAATCCTGACTGTGGTTCCACCGTATTATATTGTTTCTTTCTGGCTTCTTGCAGTATTTTCTCCTTGACCTGATGATTCTGGAATTTGGCTACAGTGTTCCTGGGAGTTTTCATTTTGGGATGTCTTTCAGGAGGAGATTGGTAGATTCTTTCGATGACTATTTTACCCTCTGATTTTAGGACCTCAGGGCAGTTTTCCATGATAATTTCTTGAAAGTTGCTGTCCAGATTGTTGTTGATCATGGCTTTCAGGTAGACCAGTAATTCTTAAATTGTCTATTTTCCAGTCAATTTTTTTTTCCAATATGGTATTTTACATTTTCTTTTGTTTTTTCATTCTTTTGATTTTGTTTGACTGATTCTTGATGTCTCATAGAGTCATTAGCTTCCACTTGCCCAATTCTAATTTTAAATGAATTGTTTTCTTCGATTACCTTTTGCACCTCCTTTTCCATTTGGCAAATTCTACTTTTTAAGGAGTTGTTTTCTACAATCAGTTTTTGTCCTTCCTTTTCCATACTATTGTCTGTCTCTTGCATACCTCTCATTTCTTTTCCCAGTTTTTCTTCTTCCTCTCTTATTTGACTTTTCAAATCCTTCTTGAGCTCTTCTAAGAAGGCGTTTTGGATTTGAGACCAGTTCATATTCCCCTTTGAGGTTTTGGATGTATGTATATTGACAATGTTGTCCTCTTCTGAATTTGTGTTTTGATCTTCCCTGTCCCCGTAGAAAGAATCTATGGTCAATGTCTGTTTCTGCTTTCTGCTCATGGTATTTGCCTAATTCCTGGCTTTTAAAGTTGAGCTCTCCTGCTGGAGCACAGGGGGTACAGTCCCAAGCTTCTTGTGCTGGAGGCCAGGGCCTGTTCACTGGTTTTGTGTGCTGGGGTCTCAGGTGCTGGCATCTGGAGGCTGTAGGAGTCTGGCAGCTTACCTGGTGCTGAGCAGGGGTCTTAGTGGTGGTGTCTGGTGTGTGCTGAAGCCACATGAGGTTTTTCTGCGTTTCCCCAGGGTACACTGAAGCTCATGGGGTGGGGGTAGGGAGCTCTGACCATTGGAGGACACCTGCTTACCCGGGGCTATGCTGAAGCACGTGGAGGTCTGGCTGTTGGAGGATGCCTACCCCTCCAGAGCCGTGCTGAAGCACAGAGAGGTTTAGTTGCTGAAAGATGCCTGTCCACCCAGACCTGTGCTGAAGCACACAGAATTTGGCTGCTGGGGAATGCCTGCCCATGTCGGCTGTGTTGAAGCATGGGGAGGTTCAGCTACTGAAGGATACCTGCCTGCCGGAGCACATGGTGGTTCTCCGATCTGGAGTCTGCTGGTTCCCCTGGCTGTGCCAAAGCACACTTTGGGAAGCCTTCAAGCAAACACTAGATGACCACTTTAATGGTATAATTTAGAGAGGATTTTTGTTCAGATAGATTGGGCTATTTGAGGTTCCTGTTTAAGCTTGCCTGCTCTACCACACTGGGGCTCAGGATTTCCCACTGGTTTGCTGAGGTGGGGCTTGCCACTGCCTTGCTGGAATACCTCCAGTCCTGAACTGCACTCCACTTCTACCAGAGTGAGAGGGACCTTTCTTACTGACCCCCCAAGCCTGCTGGGCTAATAGAATGCTCCACCCTGTTTTTCTGCTAACTCTGCTGTTCTAGGATTTTTACTGGTATGATATTTTCTGAATTTTTAGAGGCCAGTAAAGGAGAGTGAGAGTGACTTACTGCTTACTGTAACATCTTGGTTCCTGAAAGTCCAGGAAGAATGTTAATAAACTGGTGATTGCTTAGTATAGGATGACTAGGATGCCTAAAGGCCTCAGGTTCAAATCACATAAGGAAAATTGGTTGGTGGAACTGGGGTTTGCCCCAGGGAAGAAAAAGCTTGATAGTTCAAGTATATGAAGGAATATCACATTGAAGAAAGTTTAGACTTTTTTTTTTTATGACAAAGGACAGAACTAGAAATAATATTTAGGAGCTGCAAAGAGGACAGTAACTAGAAATAGTGGGTGGGAACTGCAAAAAAAGGCATTGTAGGTTTGACATGAAGTGTTTTCTAAGATTTGCAACTATCCAAAATCGTGGGCTATTTTGGGAGGCCTTCAAGCAAACACTAGACGATTACTTTTATGATATAATTTAGAGAGGATTCTTGTTCAGATTGCTTGGGCTGTTTGAGGTTCCTTCCAGTCTGAGATTCTATGGAATAATTGAAGATAGTCTGTGTTTTCTACAACTATATATAACTCTAACATATTTTCCCTATTTCCCTGCATCTTTAGGAGTTAAAGAATGCAGAAATTGCCTTAAGAACACAGAAAACCCCACCTGGACTTCAACATGAAAATACAGCTCCCGCAGAGTAAGTGAATGAGTTTGATACTAAAGCATCTCACTCTGAGTCAGTGTTATTTGCTTAATTTGACAGTCATTTTTGAATACCTGCTATATGCAAGGCATTATGTTCATTTGCCTTTAACGTAAGATAACAATTCTTTTAACCTCAATGTGTTTTCCAGATAATTGAAGCCTTTTCCTTTAGGTGGCAGCTCTATAAAAATGATTGCAAGTTTTTCAGCATTACTTATTTTTAACATGTTCATTGAAAATCTTTCTCTAATATGTTATTATACTTCATACAGTCATTAAACAGAACAGGAAACATAATTTCCCCCTTTTTTTGGATGACTGAGGATCATGATTTTGAAAGTCAGTTATATTGTACTGTATTTCCTTGATGAGATTTCTCACCTGTAGAGTGGATAGAGGATATGCCTGCTCTTGGTGGTTTTGATATTCCCTTCACTATTCATATGACACTTCGGGAGCCTTGTGGTATGCTTTCTCTTTTAGCAGCTGCTCACCTTCACTCTTCAAGTTTGTCATCTCTCATTTGCAGAAGTCATATGACTAAGGCTTGTGGGGAACTTTGTGTTCAGTAACTAGCTCCAGATCATTGTCAGTCTTGTTTGGGACACTCAGAAAATTGTTGTGCCTGCTTCTCTTTGTGTAGAGGTTGAGATACTTAGAATTTGCTTTGTTAAATAGCCCTCTTAATGCCAGTTGTCCTAATGCATTTAAAATATGATTCAGTTGCCAAGTTCTTTTGATTCTCCTTCGGTAGTATCTCACATCTTTTTGCTTTTCCATTCCTACTCTTACCTTAGTAATCTAAGCCTCTGTCTATTCTGCCACCTCAGACCTAGGCCCTAAGACAGCGAGGTGGTACAGTGGATCGAGTGCTGGGCCTGGAGTCAGGAAGACCGGAGTTCAGATGTGTCCTCAGATACTTAGCAGCAATGTGACTCTTGCAAGTTCACTTAACTTAACTGTGTCTGCCTTGGTTTCCTTAACTGGAAAATGAGGATAACAACAGCACCTACCTCCCAGGATTGTTGTGAGGATCAAATGAGATATTTGTATTTGTAAATTTTGTGTTTGTGAAATATTTGAAAGCACTTAGTATACTATGTACCTGGCACATAGTAGATGTTTAATAAATGCTTGTTCCTTTCCCTTCCTATGAGGCCAGGAACTATCTCTCCTAATTCTTAATGTAGTGCTCCACATATGGTTAGGCATTTGATAATATTTCTTGAGTACATGAATGAATTAATAATATAGGCCATCCTGACTACAGTTTTAAATTTGTAGCAGCGTAACTGCTCTTTCTGCTTTCTTCCCTCTTCAACTCATCTGTCATATTTCTCTCACATTTTTCCATATGGAAACGTTTAACTAAATGACCTCTTAGGTCTCTTCCAATGCTAAAATTTTTGTAAAGTGTCACTTTTTTACACAGAATCCTTCAGTAGTTTCCTACTGATAAAGTTCATATAATAACAAATATTTTTTAAGCATCTAATACTTGCCAGGTAATACGCAAGGCACTGGGGAAATAAAGATAAAAATGAGAATAAGCTCATGGAGTATGGGAGAGAAACAACATGTAAAATTAAATGTAAAATGTGTCTTAGGGCAGAGCACTAACAGCTCTATGAGCTCTTTGTAGGACGTAGCATGAGTTCAGCCTCAAAGGAAGCTTTCCAGCTTCCTGTGAGGAGTCTTAAGAGCACTTTATAGTTAGTAGAGGCAGCTTGTGCAGACACAGAAACAAAGATGAAACATTGTAGGGAATGTAAGGAACAGCACAAAGACTAATTGTGTTGGACTGTAATGTGTGTGTAAATCCTGTGCAATGGTCCTGGAAGGGTGAGCTGCAACCAGTTTATGAAGCACTTTAAGTGTCAAACTTAGTGTCAAAAAGTTTTTATTTTATCCTAGTGGTCACAGGATACCATGGAGGGCGTAAATGGAGCAATTAGCCTTGGAAATAACAGGGGGAACCTCTTCCATTGTAACAATGGGGAAGAGGATTAGATAGGCAAAGATACAGAGGAAATTGTGATGGAGAGGAGGAGCTCATGCCAGATGACCTCAGTCTATCAGGAAAGTTGGGACAAGTATCTGAGAGAATGAAAAGGGTAGGCATGCAGTGTGAAACTTGAGCACAAAAAATTTAAAATAGTCACCTAAACAAGGAAAGGGGTATCTATTAAAGATGAGTAAAGATGTAGGCTAGATAATTAGAATTGGTAGTGGAATCAATTGGCCAGGCTTCATGATTTTTTTTCTAGTGACACGTGGCACCCTAGAAACAGGAGTAACAAAACTGGTTAGAGGGATTTTGTGAGACAGTCATTGAAATGTATAGACAGTCATGGCATATAGGCTGGATAGGGAAGGAAATGAAATAGATGTGAGCTTATAGTCTGGAGGAATAGAAAGGTTTCAAGACTAAAGAGAATGATAGGGGCAAAGACCTTCCCTATCTAAAGTACAATGGGTTTCTTAAATGTTTGAATTTCCAATTCTTAGAACATGACAAAAATTAAGCTTTGTTTGTAACTATAAGAATTGGGGGGGGGAGAAAGATGAGTGACTTAATTGGGGTGGGGTGCTACTGATATGACAATTCTCTCCACTAATGTAAATCAGCAGATCTGTAACTTAAACTTTTACAGAGTTATGTGAGGCACTGAGAGGGTAAGTGATGTGACAGTGAGGTGGCATAGAAGATAAGGGTTCAGGACTTGAAGTCCAAAAGGTCCGAGTTCAAATTGTGCCTTAGATACTAGCTGTGTGACCCTGAACAAGTTATTTAACCTCTCAGCCTGTTTTCTCATGGAAAATGTGGATAATAATAACACCTATTTTCCAGAGTTGTTGAAGATCAAATGAGATTTTTTTTAAAGAGCTATATAAATGGTAACTATCATAATTATTGCTATTATTATTAGTCACACAAATAGTATGTGTATGAAGTAGGACAAGTCTTTTTGACTCCATGGCTAGTTGACTATCCACTGGTTGCCTTCTGAATATAAGAATACAGGGCCATCTTTCCTTTTTGCTATTTGATGTTTAGTATATTGGATTATTGTTTTAAAAATAAACCAGTTCTTGGATAATGGTGTGACTACTCATATTTGATGCTAATACCTTTGTTATTGAGATGGAAAGACATCTTGGAAATCATCCAGTGCAGTCCCTTCATTACAGATGAGAAAATTGAAGGTCAGAGAGTTTAGTGACTTGCTTGAATCACACAGATATGTAGAGGCAGAGCTAGGACTTAAACCCACATCTAACTGTGAGCTTAGTGTGTTCTTCCCTGTTACCTTGAAGCTTCTCATTTACTTTTCGTTATTATGCTTTAAGGTTTATCATATAGAATCATCCTCATTCTGTAGCACTACTTAAGGTAGCATTTTTTTGTGTGAACCTTCATTGATAAAGCACACTCCCTCCACTAATGCAGACTGGCAACTTTTTGCAACTTACGGTCTTAAAGAGTAGGTTGGGTCACTGAACATTGGAGTTGGGACTTGAGTTCACATCTTTCTATGGCTGGTTCTCTTTCTGTTACCCCATGATGCCATAGCTTTATAATGTTTTCTGTTAACACATAGGAAAATAAATGTCTCCCTTGCCCTTGCTCTTGCCCTCCCCCCCAAGGTAATATCGTGATCTGATAATATTTAAATGCATTCATATAGCTACTTCAGAGTCTTGGTTGGACAATTTGAGGTACAACTACAACAGTACAGACAGCAGATTGAAGAACTGGAAAATCACCTTGCCACTCAAGCAAACAATTCACATATCACTCCACAAGGTAACATGCTCCTATAATAATTTTTCAGTGTAGTAGTTTTTTAAAATTGGAAGTTCAACTGTACTCTGTAAATAAAACACTAGATACCGAGGTAGCTGTTTTGGAATTGAATTTTGCTTTCAAATTGAATTTTCAATTGAATTTTGCTTTCAAAGTTTTTGTTTGGATTTGATGTAATTTTTCTACTTTGTTAAGTACAATGGATGGGAGAATTTGGTGGAAATAAAATGAAGCTCGGTAACAAATGTGTTATTCTACTAGTTTTACAAATTAGCCTATTCAGGCACTTCTTTGTACCTATGTCTGTATGGCATCCTCTCTATTTTTGTTTGTGGAAATATTAATGTGGTTTTCTCCTTGCCACATAGTACTAGAATTCTATTTTGAACAGTAAAGATAAATTGATGTTATTTCTTCTCAATGTTTTTACAATTAGTAAATTTTTTGCTAATGTAAATTTTGTCTTATAGATTTGTCAATGGCTATGCAGAAAATTTATCAGACATTTGTAGCTTTAGCTGCACAGCTTCAATCTATCCATGAAAATGTAAAGGTATGTTTTAATCTACAGTATATAAGTATATATTTAATAAATGTGGGACCCCATACATAAACCTTAGTTTTAACATCCATACTTGTGATATTGAGAACTGTTTAGCTTTATCAGACTAGTTTAAATCACATTTCTCATTTCTCATTTTTGTTGAATTAAAAAGAATTTATTTTGATGACCAATTTTCAAGTAAAATGGTTAAGTTTAAGAAAGATAAACTTCATTGAATGAAGAAAAGTAATCAAGTACTTTTTTAAAATGTTCTAAATTTTTAATTATCTATTTTTGACATTCTTTTAAAAAAATTTTTTTGAGTTCCAAATTCTTTTTCTCCATCCTGCTGCTCACTGTGTCCACAAGAAGGCAAGCAATATATCAGTTGCACGTGTGAAATCATGCCAAATATATTTACATATTATCCATATCACAAGACAAAAATAAAAACAGAGAAAAATAAAGTGAGAAAATTATACTTTACTTTGCACTCAGAGTTCTCTCTCTGGAGGTGGGTAGCATTTTTTCATCATGAATCCTTTGGAATTGTCTTGGATTATTGTATTGATCAGAACAGCTAAGTCTTTCGCAGTTGATTATATTTAAAATATTGCTGTTACTATATGCAGTGATCTGGTTCTGCTCACTTCACTTTACATCAGCTCCTATATATCTTCCTAGGTTTTTCTGAAATCATTCCCCTCATCATTTCGTATAGCACAATATTACTCCCATCACAGTCATGACATTCTCCAATTGATGAGCATCCCCTCAGTTTCCAATTCTTTGCCAACACAAAAAAGCTGCTATAAATATTTTTGTATGTATAGGTTCTTTTCCTTTTTCTTTGATCTCTTTGCGGTATAGACCTAGTAGTGGTATTACTGAATCAAAGGGTATGCACAGTTTTGTAGCCCTTTGGGCATAGTTCCAAATTGTTCTTCAGAATAGTTGGATCAGTTCACAATTCCACTAACAGTAAATTAGTGTGCCTACCTTCCCTCCTCCCCGCCAGCATTTGTCATTAGGTATGAGGTGGTATCTTACAGTTGTTTTAATTTGCATTTCTCCATCAGTAGTGATTTAGAGCATTTTTTCATATGACTGTAGGTAGCTTTGATTTATTTTTCTGAAAACTGCTTGTTTGTCCCTTAATCATTTATCAATTGGGGAATGACATTAGTATAAATTTGACTCAGCTCCCTATATATTTGAGGAATAAGACCATTTTCAGAGAAACTTGCTGTAAAATTTTTTGATATTACTTCATTGTCTATGGTACCATTTAGCAAAATATAATTTCTCTGATTATCTCTTTTAATTAGGTCTGTTTTTGCTTTTGTTTGTCTGATATCATGATTGCTACCCATTCCTTTTTTACTTCAACTGAAGCATAAGAGTTTTTGTTCCAGCCTCTTATTTTTAATTCTGTGTATTTGGCGTTCAAGTATGTCTCCTGTAAACAATATATTATTGAATTCTAGCTTCTACTCCATTTTGCTATCTGCTTCCCTTTTATGGGTGAGCTCATCCTATTCGCATTCATAGTTCTGATTACTATATATTTTCCTCCATCTCATTTTCTTCTATTTATCCTTCTTTCTCTCTCTCTTTTTATCCTGTTGCTCTTCAGAAATCTGTTTTTCTTCTGACTACTGCTTCCTTTAATCTGCCCTCCCTTTTATCATCCCTCCTACCCCAATACTATTTCTCTTATCCCTTTCCCCTCTTATTTCCCGTTTGGGTAAAACAGATTTCTGTACCCAAATGAGTATGTGTATATTTTCACTACAGTTCTGATGAAAATGGGGTTCAAGCATTGTACACCACTGTCCTCCCCCCATTTTCTCCTCCACTGTAAAAGTTCTTCCTTGAATGCCTCTTTTATGTGAGAAAATTATTCCCATTCTTCCTCTCTTCCTCCTTCTCCCAGAACATTCCTTTCTCACTTCTTTTTTTAGATCATCCCAACAAAATCACGGCCTCAAATTGAGTCATTCTGTAGTGTTTTAAATGAAGCATCTGAAGTCATCATAAAAAACATCAGCTGCTGTTATAATAGTAGTCTGAGCATGTATGTCGGAATTTCTTCTTTAGACCAACTGAAAGGAACTTGAGGATCAATACACAAGTCATCTTTTAGCCAGTACAATTCTTTAATCTTAACTGTACCACCTCATATTGTAGTTACGTGCTTGTTTAGGACAACATTTTGTTCACACATAGCCAGAAGATCTTCCACCCACCATTTGTGTCGTTAAGTAGTCCTCGGAACTGTTGCTGTGATGATGCTGGCAATGTGATACTCAAACATGGTGCAGCTTTTGAACAGGTCACATTGAAACAGGATATAGTCTGCTAGAAGGAAAGCTCTTCCCCACACCTGTTTGCCAACATCTTCTTGAGGGGTGTGTATTCTATTTTAACTTTATTGTGGTGGTTTCTTGCTTCTTGTCTTCAGCGAAATTTTCTGGTCCCTGGGTTAGAATTTTTGGATGTATATTCTCTTGATGGTTCTTTTTGTTTTGTCTCAGAGAAAACCTGTGGTCTTCTTACCACCTCCAAGTCACTATCATTATCCAGTAGAGCTTCTATTTTCATACAAGGGCAAGTTTGAGTTTCATTCTTGTTAAGAAAATCTATACCATTGCTGTTCTTGCCACAGGATTCCTGAATACTTCTGTTATCATGTATAGTATTTTCTATTTGCATGTCTTTTTATTTTTTACCCTTAACTTGAATATCTTTCCAAGAATCTTTATTCAACAGAAGTTTGAATTGTGACAAAAATAGGTTGGCCAATAGCATTCAAACACCCTATGAAGTATCCTTTTTTGGGTGGTGCTTAGATGCTTAGATGCACATCAGATATAGCACAGTGTCACTTTTAAATGTAATTTCACCCATATCTTCCCTCTCTTCTGGGCCCACCATTGTTCACTGTTGCTAGAGCATCTTTGTAACAGCCTTCAGTACTAGAGCCAGAGTCTGGCATAAAACAGGCCTCAGTAGGCGTTTGTTGAATGAATGAATGAATGAATGAATGAATGAATGAATGAATGAATGAGTGAATGAATGAGATCACTAGGTATTGTGGTGAAGAGAGGTGGGCTGAAGAATGTGAGGGAGGAGACAGGGCATGGGGGTCAAAAGCAGGATTGTGGACACATGGGTAAACAAACATTCAGACCATCCCCTAAATCCAGTCATTCACCAGCCCAACCATGGCTTCTGCCCTGTCCTACCTTGCATTCTCCCTTTCTAGTCTCTTTGTAGTCTGCTTTTTGGGGGGGGGGTGAGGCAGTTGGGGTTAAGTGACTTGCCCAGGGTCACACAGCTAGTATCAAGTACCAAGTCAAGTGTCTGAGGCCGGATTTGAACTCAGGTCCTCCTCACTCCAAGGCCAGAGCTCTATCCACTGTACCACCTAGCTGCCCCTCTGGTCTGCTGTTTAAGGAGTTCTTTCCTTCAATGAATTTTTGTGCCTTTTTTACTGAGCTTTTAATTCTCTTTTCTTAATTTTCTTGCATTACTCATTTCTTTTTGCAACTTTTCCTCTATCTCTATTATCTCTAACTCTTCCAGGAATTCTTGTTGGGTTTGTGCCCAGTTAGCCTTTTTCTTGGAGGCTTGCTTGTAGCTGTTTTCATGTTGTCTTCTGAGTTTATGTTTTGATTTTCCCTTCCACTGTAGTAGCTTTTTATGGTCAGTTTGTGTGTGTGTGTGTGTGTGTGTGTGTGTGTGTGTGTGTTATTTGGCTCATTTTTCCAGTTTAACATCCTCTTAACATCTCTGGGCTGAGACCTCCCAAAGCTGCTGCTGCCACTGTTGAGTTTGCTTACAAGGCCATCATCGGTGCTGCATGGGCAGCACTTGCAATCTGGGCTAGCTCCAATCCTGGTGTCACATTTCTCTCCTGCTGACCTCCTACCTTGTCTTAGTCTGGAGAAATGACTCACTCTGACCGTTTTTTGGCTTTGGAACTCCAGAATTTAATTTGAGGTATTATTTTAAAGTTGTTTGGAGGAAAATGTTTGGAGGCAGAGACAAAATGGTGTAGTAGATGCAGCAACTGAGCAGAAGTCTCCCAAGTACTTTTAAGTAGATGGGTTTTTAACTATATAAAATTAGAAACCAGGTAGTCCAGCCCTTAACCAAATCAGGAATCCCCTCTACAATGTAAATGACAAGTCGTCCTCCAGATCCATCAGTCTCTGGTTAAATACCTGGTTATTGGGAGTTCATTTCCCTTAATTGCTTTTTAGAAAGTTTTATTAGTAAGTCTCTTTATTATATCAAGCTAAAATAGTTAACTTTCACCTAGTGGATATAGTCTTGACTTTGTGGACTAAACACAATAAGTCTAATTGCTGTTCTGTGTGACAGCTTTTCAGATATTTGAAGACTGCTTTCAAGTCTCCTCTACATCTCATGTTTTCTCCTTTAGTTCCCTCAGCTAATTGTAAGGCATGGTCTCAAGTTCCCTTATAATCCTGGTTGCCCTCTTTGGAGATACTCCAGCTTGTCACTGTCCTTTTCAGTTCAATTGAACAAGCATTTAGTAAATGTCTAGCATTGTTATGTGCTGAAGAGATAAAGCCAGAAATGAGAGTGTCTGTCCTCAAAGAATTTATGTTTTGCTGGGTAAACAACTTACACAAGGATAAATACTTGAATACACAGTAGATGGAACACTGGACCTGAAGTTAGGACAACCTGAGTTAAAATCTGGCCTCAGATCCTGTCTGCAACCTTGGGCAGGTTTCTTAATGTCCATTTGCCTTTGTTTCCTCATCTGTAAAAAGCTAAGGCTTTTTAAAAATGTGGTACCATGAATTTAACAGAATAGTTCAAAAATAGTCTTATTAAGGGCAGTGTATAGTATAATGATGATCATCTCCCTCAGGATAATTGCTGTATCATTACCCTCCTGCTTTATCAAGCTTCGTACAAGTAGAGAATGGTTAATAAATGAATGCTTGTTGATTGACTGCCATCTCCATCTT